TATATATATCAGAACAAAGTCATTTGACCAGTTGACTCATGTGCTGGCATTTGAGGACCACCTGTGACCCATGGGGGTGTGCACCTCCCTCTAGCTGACACTTACCTGTGCTTTTTTTCTTCCCTAGGTCGTGGCCTCGCCTGCATACTGTCACAGGTGAGTCAGGGGTCCTCTGTCAGCACATCCAAGGACTGTTCTTTTGTGTCTTTTCTGTTTCTCCTCCAATGAAACCAGTGGGTGGGCTGACAGGACACTTGAGTACTTCCTGTCCTTCGCCCAGTTTCTCCCAGGGGGCAGCCTGATGTGTCACTGACCCAGGCCTTGGAATCTGAAAGACCAAGTGGGAGTCCTGACAAGACAAGCATGTGTGCAATGTGATCATTAGATGTCAGAGTGCTGCCTGGAAGGTCAGTGGTTTGAATCTACCCACCAGCCACTCCACAGCAGAAAGCAGGGTCAATCTTCTCCATCAAAGATCACAGCCGCAGAAGCCCCTGGGAGGTTGCCATGACCAGAATGAACTTGACATCCGTGGGACGTTGTGTGTATATGTGTGTCTACCTTATCTACATTTAACTATAAACAAATATGTTGTAAGGAAGGAGAGGTCCTTGGAGAGGGACATCATGCTTGGGAGGGTGGAGGGACGACGCAGGAGGGGAAGGCCCTCTATGAAGTGGATTGATTCAGTGACTGGAGTAATCAGGATGGGTGTATTGGAGACAGTGCGACTGACACAGGACAGAGCAGGGTTTAGGGCTGTTGCACAAAGGGTCGCTATGAGTGGCAAGCAACTCGAAGGCACATAACAACAACAAAACAACAACATGGATCATACTTGATTTGATGACACCTAACAGCAACAAATATTACAGAAGTTCCCTTGATGAGGTGATATAATAGTGATTCTTCTTTTTACTTTTATTTATTTTGCTTGTCTGTGGATAACATGGGTTGACAGAGTGACGAGGGTAATGGGTCTAAGTGTGCCGGAGTCAGTGAGACTGGCTCAGGAGAGGACAGGCTTCAGGGCTGTTGTTTTGAGTCGCAGGCAACTCGACGGCACATAACAACAGCAAACACCATATATTTTAGTATGTGAAAATAATCTATCAAGTAAATAAATGAATTCTGAGAAAGTCTTTTAAAGGATTTCAGGCTATCCAAGCTCGGGGAACCTGTCACCGGCAAGCCCGTCTCAGAAAGCACAGAAAGCAGTGCCAGGGTTTTCCATAATGTACGGGTGTGAGTCTTTCCTCTGTTCACTGAATACAGAATGAAGCTGGGGAGGATGACATTCCCAGTTGGAAAGTGACCGTTCTGTCTTGGCTTTCATTGGACAGGCATCCCAGAAGTGCGGATGGAATTCATTCTTAAGTGTATCTTTAAACAGAATTTGTAGGTAAATCAGAACAGGTACATGTCGTTCTTACTTAGCTCGCTCTTGTCATAGCGATGATGCACCATCAAGTCAGAACCGGCTTAGAACTGACGTTCCAATAGATTTTCAGAAACTGAAACTGAACACCGGAGATGGCCTATATTTCTCCTGAAGAAGAGCTAATGGATTGACACTGTCCACCTTTGGGTTGGTAACACACCCCCTTGGCCACAGATCCCAGGGTTTCTTTTAATGCAAGGAAAAACTTGAGGCTTTTTCCACGGTTTCAAAGACACACATGCAGCAAGTGGAAATGATTGTGAAGAATTTGTTATGAAGCAAGTGGAAATGATTGTGATGAGAATTTGTTGTGAGTAGCATGTGATTCAATTGCTTCAAATTGAGGGTAAATTTACATCACATTAGACAACTAGGAGTTCTCCATAACTCAGAGGTTCTTAACCTGTCTGCACAATAGAGCACACTGGTGGAGATACACACTGAGTCATTTCCTCAAACAAGCTAGGCATTTCATTGAGGATTTTTCCCTTTTTAAAAAGTTTTCTAAGAAAGATGTCATCAAGTTTCAGAACTTTTGGAGGTGGTGGTGATGGTATTTATTGATATTTTCCTGGAGAGAGAGAGAGAAGAGAGAAGAGAGAAGAGAGAAGAGAGAGAGAAACCAAAGAATGATTTAGGAAAGGAAGGTATGGAAAATACATGAGCATCTAGTGCCCCCTGCTGTCTGTTCCTAAATGTTGCCACCTCTGTGTTCATTACGTTAAAGCAGGCATTAAGGAATACACCTCTCTTCACACTCAGAGGCTGGGAACTTAAGTTGGCAGAAGCTAATTGCAAAGTGAACAGAAACGGAGATGGAATTTCTGGGAAAGGGTATTCACCTGATTTTCATAAACGTAGGCCTAGAGTTCAATTACCCAAGACTGGCTCAAGGCGTCACACAATTGTCTTCAAAATTCTACGTCTTTTGTTGTTGTTATTGTTAGGTGCCATCTGAACCCTGTTCAAATCTGCACCATCCTCACATGCCCTGAGACACAAGAGCCCATTGCAGTAGTTACCATGTCGTTCCATCTAGTTGAGGGTCTACCTCTCCTTCGTCATCCTTCTCCAAGGACTAGCCCCTCCTAGAAATATGTCCAAAGTATGTGAGGTGAAGCCTCATCACTCTTACCTCCAAAAAGCACTCGGGCTGCACCCTCTCCAAGACATATCTGGTCATTTTCTTGGCCATCTATGGGATGATCAGTACTCTTTTCCAACACCACAGCTCAAAGGTGTCAATTCTTTTTCTGTCATCCTTATTCGTTGTCCAGCTCTCAAGGTGCATAGCTAGTAATGAAAAAGACCATGGCCTGAATCAGAAACCCCTTAGTCCTCAAACTGACATCATTACTCCAGTAACTTGGAGAGGTCCCTAACTACAGATTTCCCCAGTGAGTGTGTCTCCCTGTCTCCCGATTGCTGGTACGAAGGGTGTTAATTGTGGATCCAAGAAAGATGAAGCTATTGACAATTTCAATATCCTCTCCATCCACCATGACGCTGCTTATTGGTCCGGTGGTGAGAATCTTTGTTTTCCTGACAATAAAATGCAATCGATATGGAAGGTGCATCCTTTGATCTTCTGCAACAAGTGCTGTACTGAGATAACTCAGGGTTTCTGTGAGACTGAAAGCTGTGCCACTGGTGTGTCAGATGCCGTAAGGGTTACCCATGGTGGACAGATTCTGGTGGAGCTCTCTGATGAAGACAGAGTAGGAAACAGGATGGGCCGTCTACTTCTCATATACCAGGCCTTTGAAAACCCTATGAGCAATAAACAAAGAGGATAGTTACAGTACGTACTTTAGAATTGTTGCTAGCTAACATCAAGTATTAGAACAATTAAAAAAAAACAAAAACAAACTCCTTATTGCCCTGAGTAAATCTTTAAAGTTTAACTTTTAAACCAAAAACACTCCCTGAAGTCTTCTTTAAGCCAGACAGTAAACCCAAAGCCAAATCTGCAGCCATTGGTCCACCTCGTGGTGACCTCCCACCCACCCTTAAAGCTATGAGTTTTTATGGGAACTTGCCATCTTGCCCTTGTAGACTGGTTAGTGGATGCAAAACTCCAGCCTTTGGATTAGTGACCCAATACGGAACACGCTATGCCACCACTGTTGTGTACCGTCAAGTCAGCTCTTCACCCTCCAGTGGTTTTTTTAGAGGCGGATAATCACGAGGGAGGAGATAACCAATCTTTCTGCTGTGGAGCAGCTGGTGGATTTGAACCACGTGACTTTGGATTGGTAGTGTGAGTCCTTACCCCTAACCCACCTGAGTCCATTTAGCTGAATCTGTAAAGACTGTCTAAACCTTGTGCTCAGAACTAAACCACAGCCATCCAGTTGACTCTGATTCACCAACCCTTCATTGGCTTCAGAGGCTGGAAGTCATAAGGGAAGAATATTGTCCATCTTTCTCCTGAAGTGAGACCACTGGAGACTAGAGGCCTTTTAGTTAGCAACATAAATCACTCTGGGCAATGCTATCAGAGCTCCTCTAACATCTACCTCAAAAGTTTGTCATTGTAGCCAAGGCAGAGCTGACTCGTAGCTGACACCACAGCAGGTAGAAAATCACTGGGGAGAAGGGTGCCCACCTCTCACCCACGGAACAACAGGTGGATTCCAGCAGGTAGCACAGCATAGCCTTTTGGCTAGGAATGCAGCTCTCTGTGGACTACGACTCCAGAGCCTAAGAACTATCTACATGGGCTCAAAATTACAGCTCCAAAAATCAGACAGGAGACTTAGAGAGCAGGGAGGTTATACTGACATGAGAGGATCAGTTCCAAAAAAGGAAGGAGAGAATAGTGGCATACCTTGAAGGGTGTAATCCGTATCTGAATTGTACGTGTATAAATTGTTGAATTGCTGTATGTTCTGCTGCATTTGTTCCCAACAAAACCGAAATTATAAAAAGAGTGTAGGTGACATGGAAACAGCAGAGTTTGGCCCCTGTGACTTTCACAAAGGGAACAGGCCCCATCAGCAACATCCACAATATCAGATAATACCAAACCAACCCCCATAAGCTCAGCTGTATTCTCCACACTTCCATACTTGTCTCTACTAATTCTAATACCAATGGTACTGATCGACTGTTGCTGCTGGTGGTGGTAAGTGTTGTCAAGTAGCATAGCAACCCTATAACAAAAGATCTGAACCTTTTTTTTTTAAATGAAAGTTTACTGAGACTTTGGATTTCCATTCATTCATTGTTGCATTTTCCTCCCTGCCCACCCCTCCCCACAATTCGCTGCTTTTCTTTTTAAAAAGTAAAAGAAAAAATTCTTTCATTGTTATTTAATCCTTTCTCCCAAGTCCACTCCACTATGAACCCTTTTCTGTAGCTATTGTTGTTTCTCTAATGAACATAGAGTTTCCAAAGGCGTGTTGTTTAGAGAGTGGGTGCTAATCTTGCTTCTAAGCCTGGCTTAATCTAGGAGCTCTAGCAAACACTGTCCACCATGGGTAACCATTATGGCATTTGATAAACCAGTGGCAGAGCGTTCAGTATTGCAGCAACCCCGAGTTATCTCAGTAGAGCAACTTGATAGACCAGTACTATACCACTTAGAAGAGTGTTCTCCCCAAACAAAATTAACACCAACCAACTTATAAATACAAACGGCAGCCCTCCAGGTCCTAATTGACTTAAACAAGAGGCTTCCAGCCCACAGCTGATAGTTAACTAAATCCAGTAA